TTTGTGTCGTGAACAAGCCCTTTCTGCCCCTCATCCCACCCTCCTCCCTTCGGTACATCATCGGTCGCTGCAATGCTCATGCGTATCTCCTAACGGTGCTTCGACACGTCTCATTTCATCACCATCATTCATCTTACCATTGGTCATTAGCACTTTAGCATGAAATCCTTTGACGCGTTGGTAGTTAGATCCATTACCAGATTGGTCCTCCGGCAAGCGCCGGAACCTCCCTACCTTGCGTAAGCTTTCCCTTCTCCCTCCTCTCCTTAGGCTGCTTTCATAGTCTGCGGTCCGTGCCGTCCGCCGTCCGCGCCGTCCGTGCGGACCGCTCGGACAGGGTGAAAAACGTCAACATGCGCTCTGGCGCACAATTGCGTACTTAGCACGCAGTCGGCGCCTCCCTCGATCGATAACTCGATTTCGGTGCATTTTTCAATGTTTGTGAATATGTGATGCGATATTGATGAGAAATCACTCAGTTCCCTTACCCTGCGGCACGCGCAGACGTTATCAGCGAAAAAGCGAGCTCTAGAAAGATAGTTCATTTGAACAATCAGCAAAGCGCACTGATTAACTTACCGACTTACCGAAACATATCGACTAAGGCAAGAATGAAGAAGTCTCAACTAAAAAACATGAATGAACGCACCACATATTCACAAACATTGAAAAATGCACGAAATGCACCGAAATCGAGGTATCGATCGAGGGAGGCGCCGACTGCGTGCTAAGCACGCAATTGTGCGCCAGAGCGCGTGTTGACGTTTTTCACCCTGTCCGAGCGGTCCGCACGGACGGCGCGGACGGCACGGACGCACGGACCGCGGACTATGAAAGCAGCCTTACTCACCCCTCGTTCTCCTCTGCTCGCCGGCTACCACAGCATCACCTTGTGGAATGACCGAAAGTGTGCTAAGTGCGTGTTTATATAGCCGTTCTGGGTTATCACAATCATGCTTGTGCAAAACATTGATAGCGCAAATCCTGCGAGCTACCCAGATTTGTTGGCGGCTTGTTTATTCCGTTAGCTGCCTTATCACTCACTCACTTCATTTTGCGGACGGACACACATATACTCGAGATCCGTAAGTTGGGGTAGGCGTGTCACCGGAAGTGACGTGTACTTGATAGAATCTATGTGGATAAGGGGCTTCCAATATACATCGCGAGATATCAGCAAAGCATGCTGGCAACGACTATACCTACGCAACTTCTATCAAGTCCACGTCACTTCCGGTGACACGCCTACCCCAACTTACGGATCTCGACTGTACATACACACACATACAGACATACAAACCGACACACAAAGTTAGCGCTTTATAACAATAGAAGGATTCCTAATTAACCATGTGCCTTGTCTTTTCTAACTCTTTCGACATTCCGTCGTTAGTCCCACCGAAAAACATGAAACATCAAAATGAAGACTCCAGCACGAGCACTATAGATTCACTGAACATCGCTTTCTGGAACCATCCTACCATGCCCTTCAGCGGTGACATATTCTATAGCATGTGCTCCTCTGGTTGCAACCTCAGCCTTATCGCTCCTTTGTGGGACATTTATTGCCTGAGGCGTCATAAAACTGACTCAGGTAGTCTGCAGAAATCTCTTCCACGGACTCGGCTTTTCGTAGTTCAGACTCCACGTCTAGGGCCTCTGAATGTTTATGCTTATTTGAAAGCCCTGCTTGGCTGGTCTTTTCATTCCTGCCATAGCTCTTAACTGTCTGATGGAGACATCCGTGCAACATGCCGTCAGAAACTCGCGGCAGCGCAAGCTTTTCCCAACTTCCGCGCAAATTTTGCACCTGCCCGCATACTTTGCTGCCCGTGAGGCGCCATTTTGGAAAACCCCCAAAGGGCGGGGGAAACGAGAGGCCGCCGTGAAGAAGCAGTCCATCCAGGAACCAGCAGCCTGATCAACTGCAAGGACAAGGAATGGACGAGAACAAGGGCGGTATTGTAGGTACCTCCACCAGGTCAGTGGGAGTGCGAGAGGTCTCGCCGGCTGGCCACGATCCAGCCACGGCCTACGATGTGTATCGTGGTCGTAGCCCAGGGCCATATGTTCCGGGACTTACTGGAACACCTGTGGAGGCTTTTCAAAACTTCTTGGCCTTGCGGAGAGTAACCGATGAAGGCGATAAACGCCTCATCTTTCTCCTAAGAGGTCGGAGCGTCAAATTATGAATTATTGGAGTCCTTGTTACAGGGAAAGGAGCCGGAAGCAGTGACCTTGTTGGAGCTAAGGCAAGCAATGGAGCAGCAGTTTCAGCCGAAAAAACTGCTCATGGCGGAACGCTTTGCGTTGATGTCTAAATCACAGAAGACGGGCCAGACCTTGCAAGAATATTATGCGGAGCTACAGAAGGCCGCGAACACGTGTGGATTTGAGAAGGTGAAGGACATCCGGGATACAATGGTGGCGATGGTATTTATAGGTGGGTTGGCCTCTGTAGAAACGAGAAAGCGGTTGCTCGAGAAGGAAGAGCTAACGTCTAAGGAAGTGTTGGAGGTAGCAGAAGCGTTTGAGAGAGCCGGAAAGAATGCACCACATTTGAAACAGGGAATAGTGGAAGTTGGAGTGGCAACTATCGTGCAGCGAGAGCAGAAGCCCTTGGCTAGAGCTAGGATAGGAGAAAGGAGCACCGTTCGTAGGACAGGAGCTAGTAAACCGGGTACTAGAGAAAGAAGTCGGACGGTGGAGAGGCGGGGTCGGTCTCCGCCGGGATGCTGCAATTATGATGGGTATACGGAGGGTCGTGGACATTGCGAAGGCAATCTTTATAAAGAAAAGCATACTTGCGCTTTAGTGTTCACGACCTGGCCATGTTCCACCCAACAGCGTGTCGGTGGCGAAAAATTCCCAGCCAAAGTCTCCCGCGAAGGTTTACTGGTGTGCGGAGCCTGATGAAGACATGACGATCAGCAATGTATTGTACATAAATACCAGAATCGGACAGATTGATACCTCGCAAAGAAGTGTGGAACAACAAGTGCGAGAAGCTGATTCCAGGAAACAGCTAACAAAAGAGAATAAATCAGATTTGAAGCCTAAAGTGGCTATTGAACCAGCCATATATGTTACCCATCATAGTGAATGGACGTACCATTGGATTCGAATTGGACACCGGCGCTTCCGTACCAATCATAGATGAGGTGACCTGGTCGAGCATTGGGAAGCCAGAAATGAAAACGACCAAACTGGAGGCCACAGCTTACTATAATAGCCCTATCAGTTTTGATGGTCGTGATTTTGCAGTATGGACGTTCTACGGTAATGGAAGTCTATGTATTACATACAGCTAGCCACCCATTGTGTGGCCGAGATATGATGATTAGGAGACTGCAAATAGATTGCGGACCATATGTAGGGAGCATGGAAAGGAATGTTCTATACGAAAGAACAGCAACATGAAAGATGGAGAATTCACTAGAAGAAAACCAAGTGTTATTTAAAAAAGGACTGTGAAGGTGTACGACAGCAAAAGTGTCGTTAAAGCTGAAACACGGATTAGAAAAAGCCTTAAATTTTGTACAGTGCAACAGTTCCTCTGGCATTGAGGTCGAAGGTGGAGGCTAAGTTACAGAGCTGGTAGAGGATGGTACATTGACTAGAGTGGAACATTCGGAGTGGGCCACACCGTTCGTGGTGGTACCCAAGCCAGGAGGAAAAGTAAGGTTGTGCGGAGATTATACGGTGACGGTAAATCCGCAGCTGCATATTAACCAGTACCCCCTTCCAAAACCTGACGACTTGTTTCACATGCTAAATGGAGGGCAGAAGTTCTCCAAGATGGATTTGTCTGATGCGTAAATGCAATTAGGACTAGAACCGGAATCAAAAAAGCTTACTACAATTAATACTTATAAAGGAATGTTTAAGTACAGCAGAGTTGCGTTCGACATAGCCTCGATTCCAGCAATACTCCGAAGAATCATGGAGACTGCGCTAGCTGCAACAGAGGGAGTAGTCATATAATTGGATGACATCACAGTGACTGCTCCGCGGAAAAATTGGGGAAAACCACACGCATCTGCGCGGTGGAGACGTATGAAAGATTGAGGGATATTCAGGTTGACGCGAGAAAAATGTGAGTTCCTGAAGGAACAGATGGACTTTTTAGGGCATATTGTAGATGCAAAAGGAATACGGCATTCCACCGAAAAAGCTGCAGGCAGCTGCAGCAAGGCACCAAATAAAGCAGCGATTGACTGAAACAGTTATCCTTACACATTATGATCCACAGATTTCTGAAGTGTTGGCAACAGATGCCTGTGAATACGGGTTAGAACGCCGGACGGGAAAGAAAAGGTGATGGCATACTCTTCGGGACATTGATGAAAGAAGAAAAGAATTACTCGCAGATAGAAAAAGAGGCATAGGGATCGTCTGTATGGAATTGCAAAATTAACAGTCCTGTATGGTCGACAATCTAACCTTTTGGGACCATCACCACTTGTCAAATATATTGGGCTAACAATGAAGAATCCCAGATTGCAGCAAAAGACTGGCATCGTTGGACCTTCGGTTAGATGATCTGCTCCTCGATATAGAAGTTTATAGAAAACATCGCGAATCAGGAATGGCGGATGGATTGTCCAGATTGCCGAATCCGAGAGAGTTGCCACGCACTCAGATGGTGGTAAATGAGGTGACTGAAAATCAGATTACGTCAGAACAGTGGAGAGACATGATATACAATGAGCAGGAGGTGGCGAAAGCAACACAAGAAGATGAATGTTGCGTAAAGTGTATAAGTACATGGTGGAGGATGGCCTCGAAAGGGTAAGGAGAGCGATTTGAGGCCGTATGAGAGAAGTAAGGTATAATATGCATGTAAAGGTTGTTATGCGGGTTAGCGAGTGATGATCCCGAAGAAGTTTCGTAGGACGGTGTTGGAAGTGTTACACATAGTTCATAATGGGAGGAATCGGATGATTGCGCTGGCTAGGAGGAAGGTATGGTATCCGGGAATTGATAAAGATATACAAAAGATGGCACAAGCTTGTGATATCTGTGCAGCCTTCGGAAAGGAGATGAGAGAACACCGCTGCATCCCTGGGAAACGCCAGCAAAAGGCAAAGCAAAGAGGTCTGGCAAAGATTACATATGGATTTGGCGGAGACCACCGACGGCAGGAGATGGTTGGGATAGTGGATGCAAAGTCAAAATGGCCCGAAGTGGTGCAAATGGGATTAACCACTGTAGAAAAAACGATAGAAAAGTTGAAGGATATCTTTAGTCTCCATGATCTACCAGAGCAAATAGTGGTCGATAATGGGCCACAGTTCATAGCGAAGGAGTTTAAGGAATACTGTAGAAGAAGGAGTATTGAGTTGATTTTCATCCACCTTACCATCACAATTCTAATGGGGAGGACGGAAAGATTTGTGCAGACTTTCAAAAAGGGTTACTATAAAGGGCGGAAGGCCGGTAAGACGTTAGCGGCAACCGTGAGAGATTTATTGTTTGAATATAGGGTAACGGAGCACCCGGCGACAGGGACCTCCCCGGCCAAAATGTTAATGAGACGTTCGTTGAGAACGACGTTGGATTTGATGAAGGCCTCGTAACTCGGTATTGACCCCCCTCTCCAGATGAGGCGGATTAAGGAGCAATATGACAAGAAAGTGAAGGAAAGGAAAAAGGAAGTAGGGAAGAAAAAAATGACGGGCAAAATGAAGGAGTATGTGAAGACTAAGAGGTCTAGGGTAGGAAAGCAAACAAAGCGGATAGCTCAGATAGGGGCGATAAGCCGGAAGAAGGGCATATAACGGTAAGCTAGTGGGGGCAAACTTCATTTCGGAAAAAACGAAGCTGAAGACATCCCGCACGAACTGGACACAAGGAGTGCTGGTGGTGCCTGTGAGTGTACCCCAGACAACGACAGCAGCAGTTATGGCACCGCCCACTATGTCGGCCACGGGGTGGGGCCCTGGGGCACCCACAGTGGTGTGTCTGGGCTTGCCCGTGGCCGGTTCGCCGATTTAAACCACTACCACCACCGGCGCTGGAGCGTCGCCTCCCACGGTGTTGTTGCTGCAAGCGGTGAGTGTTTTGCAAAAAGTGGAGAAATTGTAGTAGGTTTAAAAGAGTGTTTCAGCTCACGCGCCCTCTAGGAAGACAGACCCCCCGCTCGTGGAGGTGGTACCGTGAGGGACGCGGGCGAAGAGTGGCCCGGCGAGGCCTCCCGCCTCGCTACGGAGAAGACGATAGGGATGCCTGGAACCGCCGCAGACTTGAGGAGACAACCGTGACCAAGAGAGATCTCCTTGAAGGAAGAAGTGCGGAAAGAAAGGGGGCCCTGGAAAATGAAGACGCCAATACTAAGTAAGATTGTAACTGTGTTTTGGTTATAAATAAAGATTGAAATGGTCATTCGGTGTTCTGCAGGTTAATGGGTGGAGTCGTGTCTCGAAAAGTGACCTGGCGGTCACTACGGGGGATGTTAGGAGGGTAGTTGGGGGAACCGGTTTTAGGGAAGTGGACTGTACGAATGATGAGGACATGCCGAAAGTATGATGGATGGGATAAGAAGCGGATGAAGGAAGACTGATAAATTGTGATATAAAAAGATACAGTGGAACAATAAATGATTCTACCCTCCAGCGTCTTCGCCACACAACTATAACGTTCACACATATCAAATACCTAAGAACAATAAAAGAGTCGGACATCCATATTTATTGACGAATATAAATATCAAGCATATAGCACAGCATACAGCATACATATCATACAGTATACATATCATAGATATCTTGAGCTAAAATAATTTATGAACAATATGTTACCATAATGTCCTAACAAAATGTCAACATCACTAGATAAGATTTGCTTACCCTTCTCCCAATGAGCTGATTTGCACTTACTGCTGCAGCGTCGACCATTTTGAAGACTTCTCCTAAACAAATACGTAATAACAGATTGATTGCAGCTGGGATGTAATCATGGTACAGAGTGATGATTATAGTGCTGAGTAGTAATGTAAAGATGATATGATATGACTATAGTATAACCAGTTTAGTCCGCACGCGCATGACACGGGAGGCTCCGGTGAAACTGGACAGGCGTTAGGTTTCACCACTGAACAATGAGTTGGTCTTAGTATGGCGCTATCTCGAAGTCTCATATGGATCTGAATGTCAAACAGCAGTTTGAGGCTTCGGAGCTTTTATTTCAAAAGCTTCGAAAAGACTGAATATCGAAAGCTTTCCAGAATGATTGCAATATTTCGGTGCTTAACACCGTCGTCAGGCCTGAAATAGCACTTACCAATTCACTCGCGTTCGTCTCGGTCAATTTAAAATTACCAGACGAGAAATTAAATTCGTAAGCGGAGTCAAAGTGTTGTCTGTGCATTATAGTATTTATTGGAACTTCCCATTCATTCTTGCGAATTCCGGGTGGTGTAGCGGTCGAATATTGTTTGATGGTAACGATGACAACGTAAATGAAACGATACTGAGGTGAAATGAGTTATATAGAAGCTGGTTTCAATCGACCTCTGTGTTCTTACGCATACCGCTACTATCGATCCTTATAGGACAGCGGAACAAGGAAGGCTCACACTATCTATTTTTGCCTGAGAAAAAAAATCTATCGAAACAACTACTAGCTGTCCATATATGAAGACCACCTGCTAAGCAGAAACACCAATCCCTCGCGTTTACACAATTTATCAGTTGAGATATGCTCAACACGGTGATTCAAGAACCAACTTTATCTCTGCACTCATACATTGGGTACATTTACGGAAGGACATGATTGTTTCTACACGTTATGTATTTTTCGCCACCGATAAAGGTTAAGAATCAGCTCCTGCGTGCGGTGACAGCAGTTTTTTCGTTGTTGTGGTCAGCCGTTCCCAACTAAAGTCTCGCGATTTCAGGAACAATTCAACCATTGGGAAGACATTTCTACAGTGACAACGGTTTGATTAGGGACAATGACTAAAAGTTGGAATTCACGCTGTTGACAACGTCGCGATGTTTTCGTCCGTAAGTGGACCATCATTTGTGTTTTGGTAGTTCATAGATAGGGGACAATAGATAGACTTTATTTTACCGCAGAGTACACACAACTCCAGAATCAATCATATTCTTCTTTATCTTACTATTTTATCATCCTTGATAACCTGAGTTCATATGCGGTCCATGAGCACATACTTTATGCTAAAACTTGCATTATGGTTGCAATAATTGGTCATTGGTCAAAAAGTTCTAGTTTCACCATAGATTTAAACCTTTCATAATTCCTTCACAGTGCCATTATTTTACTTGTTAACGAAAGTAAAAGCGAATGAAGGTAATAGCAAAATTAACAACAAAAATATAGATCTTGTACTGTTGGAAACAGATGAGAAGCTCTTCTTTTTCTTTAAGATTTATTGACAACGTTTGCCCTTCTTTAGGTCAACCGAACCTTAAGTACACCACATACTATTAAGTACCAGTACTAAACATAAGAACAACAGAAACCTACAGAATGGCTGGGTGAGTGGGAGGCGGAGGGAAGGGTGACTGCCAAGCCCTATGCTAACATTGACAGGAATGGTAACCAAGAGTTTCGAGGGTATATATATGTACGTGCCAGAGCAAAGACCGATTCAGACTTTGTCACGCTTTCCTTCATAATGCACGTATCATATTGATATCAGACTCATTGCTACTTTCATCTCCTCCTTGTTGTTTATCGGTGGCTTCTGTTGCCTTATTTCTAGCGCTTCCCTTATTTCCTTTCGACTGGATCTACCAGATTCTGTGAAGAATGGAGACGGAAGCTCGGGTGGTCTTCCGTGCGAATGACGGAGTGTGTGATGTCTGGAAAATACATTATCCGGGTAGTTCTGTGGACTACATAAGCTCTTCGGTGTTCATCTATCCTCCTGTGCATCCATCTGATGTTTCTCCGATATAAAATTCGTTGCAAGTAAGACACTTCTCTATACACTACACTTTTTCCTTGAAACCTACAATTTATACATATACATTACCTACATTTTATACACTACGCATTTTTCTTGAAGCAAAAGTATACACAAATTATTGGAAACATATCAATCAATCACAAGATGGCGAATTTGTTGCTAACAAAACAAACGCTCAAAAACATGTCGGATTCTGTAGTGTCTAGCAAAGCTCAGGTACTAACAAAACTCAACATGTCAGAAACTGACGACCGCAAAGCCTTCAAAAAGAACAACCGGACAAATCAAGGCATGAAAAGACTACAAATCAGCTCTCTTGAAATGACTAAAAGCCTGATTTACTCGCGTCTCCTTCATTTCCTTGTTTTTGTTATTGCCTTTCGCTATGAATGTCTGAATTACTTTGCTTTGTTACTTGCATGAAAGCTTGCGCGGATATTGATTTTGGTATACTATTTGTTGTTGATAGTTGCACGATCGATTGCACCATCATGATCATCTCATCCCAGTAGACCCTGTATCGCTATAGCATGCAAAGTGATGTAGTAATGAAGCCGCTAAGTCTATGTGTGACTGACCTATAGCAAAATGTTCACGCTCAAAGACGTCCACAACCTCCCGATATTGCGACAGCAATATAGGAGCGTTGACGTGTGTATACATGTGTATACAATGAAGAATTATAAAAGAAAGAAGTGGTGTTCGAAAGAAGTGGTACCATCTCTCTCGTTAGCTTGACAACGAAGCTCATGTTCTGAGATAGCGTGGTTGTCGATTTTCATTCTTCATCCTTGTTAACGTATGGCGACCAGAGCGCTGCTGAGAAGATAGGATAAGGTGGTGCCTTCCTATCCAGACCTTCCTATGTCTTGATAGGTGACTTGATAAGTATGTGACCTGATGGCATCTTGTGCTACACATTGTGACGTTAGATGAGTTCTCACTGGTTCATGAGTGTGTAAAATCTGTGGACCTCAAATTCAACGGAGGTGACCTCCTCTAGATTCTTCTCAGAAAATTATAGTGTTCGTACCGAAAAGAAAATAGTAGACACCCAAGCTGGTAATCACTCCACAACGTAGTAGTTTTCTGCTAGTTTCTCGAGTTGAGCTCTTGTTCAAGCGACTGGGGATATTGTAAAATGGAGTTATCCCTGAGCCTCATTTGTTGAATATATTCTCTTTAGCAAATCTTTGTAGTTGTTGAGGACTCTTTCTTTTCAAGCTTTATTGGTGAGCTTTCGCTGATATAACAGCTTCCAGAC